TATAATATATTATTATATTATTATTTAGTATTTATTAGTAAATTAATTTATTATCGATATATCTCCTATTAATTTATTGTCTATGATACATAACATAGCTCAAATATATATTAGAACTTTGGGTATTTCATTTTAAAGCTTGAGAATGAATTATTTCTGTATATTGTATAAATATTCATTTGTATAGTGAAGTTTATATGTTTTTTTAATTATTGAATGATTGAAAATAAATAATTGAAATTAATAATAAGAAAAAATATTTTTAATGAAAAACAAAGAGATTATCTTAAATCTTTAGTCTATCGTATCATGAGAGTCAAATCTTTAAATAAATGTTTTTTTTTTCATTATAAAGTAGTAGAATTTTCCGTTACACATTATCCAGTTGGAAACGACGGATGATGAACACAAAGTAATCATGAAAGAAAAGCATTTTCCAAAGCAAATCTTTGAAACATGGCCGACCGATCATGTGATTTATTTCCTTGCAATTTCACATGGAGTTTCTCCCTTTCGCTGTTTTGGTGATTTAATGCATATAAAACATGTGATGAAATAAAACGAATGGCTGAAATTTCGAAATGATTTTGGAAAGCAATTAAAGCTCGTGTTCTTTAGTTTCATTTATTTTTTTAATTATTTCCCACATAAGACACTGCAAAATTCCAACGAATGGTGTGCTGGAATCGTCTTCCTAAGCCTTATTTCGGATAAAAGGTTGGGTGCTAAAGTGTTCAAGTTTGGCACATTGCAATTTCTCATCCATTCGATGCCACTCCAATCGCCTAACTTCATGTACTCCAATACCACTGATAAATTAAATTATCGAATCATATAATTTAAAAAGAAGAAGAAGAAGCAGTGAGCAACCACCATAAGCATTGAATTCAATAATTATACTTTTAACTATAAATCGATCAATATCGATACATTAAAGTAGTTCGTTTTGTTTGTAGTCGATGAGCTGTTAGGTATGGGATAATTACTACTCGAGCTGATGGGAAAACAAGTTATATGACCAGCAGTTCCTGAATCGATAAATTAGGCTTGCGAATTATATAAAAGACCATGTGGTGGCATGTTGAGCAATCGACGGTGAAATATATTATATTTTATATTATAACAACGGATCCAAAAATATTTTTGAGGGTGTGCATACATGGGTTAGCAACACAACATTTTCGAATGGGTGGATACAACTAAAATTTCAGGACGAACACTATCATTAAAATAAGAAACTGATCGAAAAAAATTCGAATTTCAAGATGAGCACGTGACTATCTTCAAATATACGTGGCTCCGCCATTTTATATATTTGTGAAATGAAAAAGGCATGTGAGGGTTTCCTTGCGGCCACTGCAAGAGTTAGGCTCTCGTCGACCTTCTAGTTTGCATGGCCATGTACATAAATGGAAAGCAAAGTTAAAAGATTGCTATTTTCCCACGAGTTTCTTTTGCCTTACCAATCAAATACACGTGTCGATTTCGTATGGCTTTAGTTAGGTCAATCATATGTTCAGATCATAAATATGTGTACGAATTGGATACACACGTCTATTCAATATCATTACCTTAAATTACAGTTACAACTTACAAATGTATTTTCGATTTTTGATTATAGATATAATAACCGATCACTTGATAGTGATTTTTTTTTAAAAAAGTTCGCATGATTTATCGTAATCATGTTATATTAAATAGTATTTTTAAAATAATATATGGTATTATATGATTTTTTTAATTTATTTTGTGGTATATTTAGATTCGAATTGAGAAAAAATAATCTAGAAATATTTTAATTTTTTAATTTTTATACGTATTAAATATATTAAGTGTTTAAAGGTACTCGAACTTACAATTTTTATATTATTGCAACAAATAGTGTCAACTAAATTTAAACTTTATCAATTATATTTTTTTTTATTAAACTAATTGCATAAAAATGATACAGTGAAGTACGGCTCATGTTTTTATAAGGAGAATGAGAGAAATTATTCGAACTCGATCTTGAGATATGATATTAATCAAAATTAAAGCGATGTTTTTTTTATCAATATACTATATGTTGGATCGACTAAATTATTTTTTTCTTGAAACAACCATTTAATATAATTTGTTAATTATTAACATGTTCGCAATAATACTATAATTAGCATACAAGGAAGTTTTCGTATGTAATACCCTTACAAAGTTGAATTTAATTACACAAATAATTGAATTTCTTTCGTAAATTAATTTTCTTAGAGAGACTAGACTATAAATTCCAATTCTTAATAACTATCGTTCACATAAATCTCAAAGACACGACGAAAGCGAAATTATTATATACCATATAAAGTAAAGACATTCCATGTTTGTCTCCATCAAATATTTGTCTTTGAGCTAGGTAATAGAAATCCCACAAAATGTATTATATTAATAATTAATTATTTTTTATGTGTAGGTTTAGGAATTGACATAAACATTTTTTGTGCTTTTGGATGTATCATGGATCTTTGATGGAATCTTTAATTTTTTTTTATTAATATTGAGGTTAGAAATTCGAATGTTAATATTATAAATAGATAAAATCATTTTGAAAGATTAGTTCCTATAATAAATCTTTATAATTTGATTTGAATTAGTTTATCAAAAGTTAGATATTCGTGATATAAAAACATATTTTTACTTTAAATTAGTTCACTAGTAGAGAAAAAATCATCCTAAGCTGATAATACAAGGTTAAATTAATATCATATGGTACATGTGACTTCAATATATACATAACTAGATAAATTAATATAAAAGATTTTTTATATTATATTCTTAATTCACATATCAAGATCTTGTTTATTATCCACAACTCAAAGGGAATTTACAAAAGGTTGAGCAATTACTTGAAAAACTCTCATATATATAATCTGAAACGACATATATTTTATGGAACTATAAGATCCTATTGCAAGCCACACTTGGTCCAAAATACCATATAAGTTCAATTCTTAACCTGATATATAGACAAAACCCTACCATTAATCATCCAAATTAAACCTGGTTAATTTGGACCGATACCGATTTAAATATGTATTTAATCACCATTGATTATTTGCATGGCCAATATCCTCCATGTTCCAATAGTAATCTTCATGGTTCGATGAAGAGTCGACCATCATTTGTTGTTGCTGCTGCTGCTGCTGTCCGTAAAATGTTTCCATGTTGTTGCAGTGGTTGAATGATGCTAATGGAGAATATGATGTTTCCATGAAGTCTGCATTTGTAACATTGCAAGGCAATTGGCTTGAGCTTGCGTGCTGATGAAGTAACAACTCACAATCACTTTGATTTGAATAGCAAATCTCAGGTGGTTTGTTCATGTGCTTCTGGATCCTTGTTCTCCAATAGTTCTTTATTTCGTTATCCGTTCGTCCGGGTAAATGCTTCGCTATTTTCGACCACCTGCATGAAACAATTTTTTAACATTCAAATTCGAATCATAACATAAATAAATATATATATATACTCCATGTTTTGATGTAAAATTGTCTGATTTAATTTTTACATAAATAGAAACCCACTTCCATTTATGGCCAGTTCAAATATGTCCTGTCAAATAGATACTTGTTCAATCCAAACAATTTTTTTTTCTCACTTTCTTGAGAAATAGTCAATAATTCCAGAACAAGATCACACAATCGGATTCTTAATTTAAATATGAAATAAGGGAAAAGCTAAAACACCAGGTCTAAATGCCACCTTTCGGTAGATACATAGGTATGTATTAAATAAATACAGCAGACATTGAGCATTTATTCTTTGGATCAATCATGATGAGTATCGAACACAAATTTTCATCTTATACAATATTGTTATCTTTAAAAATAATATATTCAAAGATCATATACATATCATAATATATAATCGTCATTAATATTTAAAAAAATTCGGGTAACAATCACAATCTTTATGTAGATATAGATTGAATGAAGGGGCGGCCATGCATGTGTTAAAAGCATCCAAAATATAAGGTTTATGTCAATTTCAACCAAGAAAAAGAATGCTTCTTTTTGCCTTCCTAAAAGAGTACCTAAACATGAGTAGAATTGGGAAAGGGTTGAGCTTAAAATGGAAACCTTTTATTGCCAATCTGTTTTAACGAGCTGTATAACTTTTATATTAATTTGGAACAGTAATAATTATACATATTATTACAAGTTTCTTTCTTTATTATATTTTAATCCATAATATTAGTATAATAAATCTTGTTTACGACATATAGGTGAAAATAATAACATATAGGTCTCCTACAGAAGCTGCTCTCAACTTGGTGTTGGGGGCAGCCTACTATCTTACCTCCCCTTATCCCATTACATGTGGGAACAAGGGACATCCATTTATTAATTACAAATCATTGGAAAGGAAGAGATCACAAAAGAGCACTTTTATGCTGAATAAGGAGATCTTCCATGTAAAAACTATGGTGGGTAGGCCCAATTTCTTGCAGTATAATTTCCACATGTATGGTACTAAAACGTTCATAAATATATCAACAAAATTCTGGGAAAAAAAATTATCAAGGAATTTTGGTAGCCATGGAAAAATCAAGAACCAATGGGAAATTGTAAAACAAAGAATGAATTTTGATGTCCACAAATGTTGAGGAGATGAAAGTTGGCATGTGTTTGTGAATCAATTTGGTGGCTTAAAATAATCCAAACCCCACATACTAAATCCTCGAGAGAGAAAAAAGTGCAAAAAGTGGGCAGTTTTGGATTGGATGAACAAGTATATAGGCCATGGAGAAGTGCACTTTTTGGCTTCTCAAGTTCAAGGCAATGAAGTCATCATATCACCATTGAAGAGAGAGAGTTTGTTCTTCGTATTTCTTTCTTTTGAAAAATTTCGAATCGTAAATATAATTCATGTTTATCACTTATTCTATATGAAGAATGTAAATATGTATGTGTGCAATATTGATCGTAGTATAGAGAATGTTAACCTGTTTCCCCACTTAGCATGCAGATCCATGATCAAGAATTGTTCTTCTGGAGTGATATTACCTCTCCGAACATCCGGTCGGAGATAGTTTAGCCATCGAAGTCGACAACTCTTCCCGGTACGTTTCAACCCTATAAAAAGATTATCATATATCAAAATCAAAGCATCACTACTATGATCTTCATCAAATAAAAGTTCAAATATGTTTTTTTTTTTTCATTTAGGTATCGATGAAACAACGTATGATGATGACGATGATTATAATTTACCCGCAGCTTTGGCAAGAGAATTCCAAACACCTTCACCATGGTTGGCAATATAGTTGATGAGAATCAATCTTCTTCCATTGTCCATGGACCTTTTCTCACTTCAACTTCTTGATATTGCATGGTTGTTTTTCCATTATTTTTTCTTTTTTGATCAAAGAGAAGGATAGCAAGAGTATTGAGAGATAAGAGAAAATAAAAATTTATCTTAGAAAAAGGGATGATGAAAAGAGAGGGAGAGAATGTGAAAGAAAAAGAAGGTAATATGGGGATTTTATAGAGAAAATCTGAGAAGATTTGTCCTTGGTAATTCTTGATGCCAAAGAGAAGAGCTTTTAACCTAATTATAGTGTTAACGAAGGCATGGATGCATGGTTAAATACTTTTGCATGCATGCCCCCTGGCCACATATTATATTTTATATTCTTTCTTTTTTATCTCATGCATATGCATGTGATATTTTTCTTCACGTACCTATTTTTAATATATTATTATTAGATATAATAATACTTGATTTTTTATATTTATAAATAATATAAGTTACATAAATTGAGATTAAAAAATATAGTAAATAAAAAATAATTTTATTGGCGGATATTTTTTAGAAGTCTAGAGAGAAAGTATAACATGCAAAAATAAAAGAAACAAACAATTTAAAATGATGGAAAAAAATGGGTAAACATTATGTAATTATGTATAATTAACTTCATTTTTCCCTAAGGTGAAAATAATTAAACAAATTATGTAAGAAAATTAATTACTTATACATAATATCAAATCAAATTGTGTTGCAACAATATATATATATAAGATTCATTTATACAGGAAAACTTTTTTAAATTTTAAACTTTTAATTGAATTTAATAGTTGACTAAGTTGAGATTAAAACTTTTAAATTGATTATAATCTATTTTTCCGTAAGAATATTTATATTTTCTTAATCATTTATTTTAATTCATCAAACGATCAAAAAATTATAAAACTTAAAATTCTATTATCGTATCAACGAATTCTACCTACAATTGAACATTGTATATGAAGGGCACGCGAGAAGGAGAGTTTCAGTAATATTTGTTGGACTTGTTTACAAATCAATTCCACTTCTCTCAACAAAATCAGTCTAAAGATCGAGTTACTACCTCGGCCCGGTAAGATTGAGTTTTGATTAGCTGTTTTAATCTGGACTCAATTTAACTTAAAACAATTTTTTTAATAATATACTTAATATTTTTAAATTATAAAAATATTTTTAATATATTTTAATCCATGTTGTTCTTATTGAAAACCTTTTAAAAGTAGAGCACAGCATGGTTTAATTCATGAACAAGACTATATAATCCTGACCCCGTTAACAATTCTCCATTAAAAGTAGTAATTCCTAACTCATAATTAATCTCCGGAAGAAAATATAGCGAAAGAAGTTTCATTAACTGGGTTTGAAAAGCATCAGTTGTTTGGATTCTTATAAATTTGAGTAATATTAATCATGATCCAATCCTCGCTAAGCTTTGTTGTACGATCTAAAAATAATGAATTCTTTATGATTCTTTAAAGTATGAGTTTTTATACTAATTTAATTGTGAAAGTATAAAATATAGATTTTTAACCTGGATTAGGAGAATGTAAGATGAGTGGTTAGAGTCCAAAGTACAAAAGTGGAGGACCATTTCCTTATTAAGGAATAAAAATTGTGTTTTGCTTTCCTAATCATGGAAACTTGAAAAGGGCAAAACAGGAGAACTTCTCAACAACATAGATAGACGTGTAAAATTTAATCAACTTGGCTCAAGAGCCAATAATATTCATTCTGTTGATATAAATAAATAAATCTCAACCATAATAAAAGTTTGTAGCTAATAATTGGATTAGGCCATGAGAAAGCCGATGGACAAGAACAACCACCATGTTATTGCCTTAATCACTCATTGCTTGTAATATTTATCCTAAAATTTAATGTTGTGATGGTATTTGCGTGTCCAACATATTTGATTTTACATGTCTGATGAACAATCAAACAACGATCCTCCCTCTCATGCCTGCAAAAGAAGGAAACACACCGTCGATAAGGAAACAAAACGTCGATGCTAATTATGACTTATCTTTATCTAAACCGAATCTGACCTGTTATTCTAATTTGGTAGTATTGAAATGGAGTGTTTATTATATGACAGAATAGCTTTTAATTTTTTATTATTATTCTACTTCGATGTTGTGGTTTATGCACTTGCCTTGCTAGCAATGTTGTTGGAAAGCCAATCGAGTCCCTCGTAGATGCCCTCCCCAGAAGTTTCACATGCACTCTGGATATACCTGCATCGGACGCCAAACCACATCGGAAAATTGCACAAATAGTATGAGCGTAATATACTCTTGTGGTGAGGAGTAAGGTGAATTTTACCAGTGGCGCTGGCGGAGAGAGTGAAGCCCGAGCTTATCGGTTATTTCAGCAGCATTCATTGCGTTGGGAAGATCTTGTTTGTTGGCAAATACAAGCAAAACAGCATCTCTCAATTCATCCTGAAAGGAAAAAAGAAAAAAAAAAGGTTAGCATCAGCTTATTATAACATTTCGTTCCTGTGAGATAAAGATGAAAAAGATTTCATTGGGTTTTCCTTATTTGACTACGAAGCATACCTCATTCAACATCCTGTGCAATTCATCCCTTGCCTCAACAACACGGTCCCTGTCATTGCTATCCACCACGAAAATGAGACCCTGAGTGTTCTGGGAATAGTGCCTCCATAAGGGACGGATCTGTGTTTGAAAGAAAGGAAGTCGATGACTATATAGATTTTCAAATTAAAATAGTAGCATGAATTATCACATGGAGGAACTGTATATCCGAATGGGTTCTGCATTCTTGAAAATAATGCTTCATGATTTATCATTTAAATGTCACGATAGTGTCGCATGTTCCAGGACATATGAGATGAATCTGAGTAATTCACAATATATTTTATATTGTAAGACGAACCTCATTGCACTCCATTAGATTTGTAAGACGCATACTTTGTCTTGACCACCAACATCCCAAACGGTGAAGCTGACGTTCATGTATTCCACTGTCTCGACGTTGAATCCTTAAAAAAAAGTACAAATAGACCTTTTATATTACATAATTTACTAAACGACCAAAAGCCACCTCGATATAAAATCCATACAATATTAAGAGGATCAATCATCTCTTGGATTGGCAATGCCTAATGATATTAAACCTGATGCAACTCTTTACTCAATTGTTTTAGGAGTCAAAACCTTATAGAATAGATAACAACTAACCACTCAACCAATCAAAGAATTACATTTAATAAGCCCTCGTCTCCAAAACTGTAACAATACCATCAAAAGTTCAAATGAACAAGCAGAAAATCTAACTTCTCTTCCAGATCTGCAAATCATAAGAAGTTGGGTTCATCGAGAAGTATTTTTCCCTCCAAATAAAGATAAAATTACATGGTTCAAACAGGTAAACAATAAAACAAAGACCAAGGTCACAATCAATTATCAATAAGATAATAAGATTTCACATACAACAAGCAGCAGAATCGACTTATTTGGTTCACAATCATGGTCAATTGTCAATAAGACAAAAAGAATCACACCACAGTGGAATCAGACTTAAGTACAAAGCAAAATGAAACAATTTTAACCATTTCTTTTGATTCGTAGTTACAACCAAGGGATCGTAGATCAATCCAATTAAGAACACACACCGATAGTTGGGATTGTTGTGACTATTTCACCAAGCTTGAGCTTGTATAAAATCGTGGTTTTACCAGATGCATCAAGACCCACCATTAAAATACGCATCTCCTTCTTGGAGAAAAGCCGACTAAAGAGCTTTGTAAATGTCAGCCCCGTCTCCCTTTCTCCCCTTTCTAGCTCACAACATTGATTTTCACATAAAAGGTCAGCAAATCAAACATTGAAACACATAAAAAACCAAGAGAAACGAAATTTGAGACGAAATAAATCTACAAGAAAACACCCATAAAATGAATCCTAAACTCAGAAACAATGAAATAAACCCATAAAATTAAAAACAGATATATATCAAACCAAACCCTGAACAAATGTTTAAAAAAGGATTAAAATACTGAATAAATCACTGGAAATATACAAGTTTCTACCTGCTTTGATCTCGATAGAAGAAAAGCTTAGATATCCAGAAAAATGGAATTTAATTAGGTTTACCTTCGGAGATGGCTTATAAGGAGGATCTGAATTTTATTTCTCTTCAGTGTGTCTCCGTTTATTTCTATGATTTTTTATTTAGTCCGTTGCATGTAAAAAAATTTGCTCAAATATCTTCCATTCAGGGACCGTTCCTTGAATTCAAGGTTTTCAAGGGGTTTATAGTAAAAATAAATTTAATTCTTCTAAGGTCTATATTTGACCTAAATTTAACGTTTACTATTTCACTATTATTTTTGTAACGCACCAAAACTTGAGTTAGTAGTTCGGATCAAATCGAGATTCATAAACATAACGTAAGGATTCAATAGAATGGTTGGATTTAGCTAATCAAGGAGTGAACTTGAGTTGGATCCAAGATTTAATGATTATTTTAATTGATTTTGGAGTCAAAGGGATTAAAAGTGAATTTACTTATTTTTATTTGGAAACTGAAAACCCCTTCTCATGTTATATGATTTATGTGAACCAAACCCCCAAGTATCTCACCAAACACTCTTATTCCTTCTTCCATTTTATTCTCTTCTTCTTCCTCTCACAAATAGAGATTTCAATTATTTCAATTCTAGTTTAGTTAAGCCAAGGTAATAATGTGAATCACTATCCTTTAAGCGTCAATTTAAGCTCCATTTTGTAAGATTTTAGCCATAGTTTCCAAAATGCGTTTTTGATAGGTTTAATATAATCTAAAGATTCTACGTTATTTTGTTAGATTCAAGATGTAAGAAATGTTCTAATCTTTATTCTCACTATATAGATAACTTAGAATTTTTTTCTTACCCTTAAATAGTGAAAAAAGTGGGAGAAAGTTCAAAAGCTAATGAAAAAAAGCACCTTTTGGGTGAGTTGGCTTTGCTATTAGCCAAGAAATTCAAGGTAACCACACTTACAACTAGGGTGTATTCGGTTCGGTTCGTTCGATTTTTTACCAAAAATTGAACCGAACTGAAATAAACGGTTTTTCAATATTTAAACCGAAACCGAATAGTTAAAAATCCAAAAAAACCGAAACCGGTTTTATCGGTTCGGTTCGGTTTTTTTAACGGTTCAGGTTTTTCGGTTCGGTTCGGTTAGGTTTTTCGGTTTTTCAATGAAAAAATCACTTGAAACTATATTTTTTTTACAAAAATTGCCTATTCGGTTCAATATGGAACAAATGGGTTCCATATGGAAAACCCGAACCGAACCGAATCAAAAAAATGAAGTCTTTAAACCGAACCGAAAACCGAACCGTTTAAAGTCAAACCGAACCAAACCGAACCGTTTTACTCGGTTCGTGTCGGTTTTTCGATTTTCTCGATTTCGTTACTCAACCCTACTTACAACTCTTTTATACTCTCTGTTGGTCATTTTGAAGTGTAAGGTAACATGGAGATTGATATTAAAGCTTGACAAGCATGTTCAAGGTAAATGCTATGTTTTATATTATTAGCACGCTTTAAAGCTTTAATTATGACCATTATTGATTACATAAACATTAAGGACATTTGGGAACCTCAATATAGCAATGTGAGTGAGTTTAAGTGCCTAAATAGGTTAAGTCTGAGGGAATGTATCGGTACTGAAGGGGTCAGTACCGATACTATTTGTGTTGTAGGCTTAAAAATTTAAAGTTCTTAAGGGGTATCGATACTGGGGGTTCGGTATCAAGACCGAGATGTTTGGTATCAAACCCGTTTTCCAGAATGCCATTTTGGTATTGGTGCTCTAGGGAGTATCGATACCCAAGGTCCCAGTATCGATTCTCCCCACCTAAGTATCGATACTACCTCTTTTAATTAAGAAAGTTTACCCCTGAAGTATCGATACCTTGGGTAAGGTATCAGTACTCAATAGACAATATCGATACCAAGGTTTTGCTTTGGGCTTCAAATTAAGAGAAATTGTAAAGGTTAGTGAGGTTTCCCAACAAGCTCTTTTTACTTTCAAATAAAACTAAAAATGGAAAAATAATAATGCTTAATTACACATAGAAACAAGATTAAGTAGGGTGACATAAAACTAGCCTTGTTTGACGTTAGGGAAATGATTCGAACGCCCGAGTTACCTTAGAAATATTAAAGGGATCGAAGTATAGAATCAGTCTAGATATCCTTAGGTAGTGTGTAATGCACTTTAAAACGACTAGCTAGGGCACAAGGTCTGACACTCGCAAAGGGGTGGGCTAGTCGAAGGTGTTGTGTCTGATGCAGGGATTCCGAGCCTCATCCTCGGTAGTCTAGAGGGGTGCATGAGCTCCGAGATACAGAAATCCCTCAGTCGCACCATGATGTCTATCATTGAGTAGAGAGTGAGTATACGTGTATACTCACTAAATTATTTTATCAGTTGGCTTGAGCATGTTAATGAGCCCCTTTTAGTATGATTTAGTTGTTAGTGTGACATTGGGCTAGTTAGCTCAACGTTGAGAATTTGTTTACTTACGTAGATTCATAGGTGGAGCAGTTGAAGAGCTTTTGTGCAGAGTAGATCCAGACCCAGATTTCAGTGTAGAGTATGTCTATGTTTCTTCTTAGAGGGCATGTGTATTTGTAACACTGTTTTGTATAATCGAGTCATAACTCATTTTAAAATTATGGTATGTATATTCTAGAATATTATTTTGAAAGCTCCCAATTGTAAACTGTTTTATATAAATATTATTATTTATTTTATCATGAGCAATTTCAAATCAATGTTTTCAATTGAGCATGTTAAAGAAATTTTTTGGATAGTCACTTTGGTGGTTCCATGTGACACTTTTATCAGTCGACTGTGTTTCATAGTGATGTAGGGTATTACAAATTTTGTAATATTTTATTTATTTGATTATTTTCTGAAAAAATATTTAATTATAATTATAATTTTTATTTTTATCATCCTTCGTAAAAAAAGTAAAAAATATATATAAAATACATGGACATGTTAAGAAAATGCAAAAGGCTCAATGTATTTAAATTCATGTTACGGTATTTTAATAAACAACACATGCTATTTATTTTTATATTCATTTATCTTTTCGTTGAAAAATTATATATATTTATGTTGTGTTTATAATCATGCAATCTATTCAGATTATAATTGCATTTTAATCATATTTATTTAAGTTTTGATACATTTAAAATTTACTTAATGTACATATTGGATTATTCTATATCTATGACATATTTATATTATTTTCAGTTGGATTATTCTATATCTATGATATATTTATATTATTTTCAGTTATATTTTGATATATTCATATTAACTTTGTATTGTGTTTTGTTCGTTTTGTATAATTTATTATAATAATTTAATTTTGATTATAAATTAATTTACTTAAAAATCGAATAATTTCTTCCTCATATAGTAATTAAATATTTTTATCCGGTCAATTCATACATTTATTAGATTTAATTTTTTAAAAAAAGAAAAACTTTAATGTTGTCTATTTTTTTTTATTATATGGGTTAACTACTAGAAAATATATGTTTAAAGATGATTCTCAACTATTTAATATTGAACGCTCAAACATTTATCATTTGTGGTGCTCGAACTCAGAATCTCAAATGATAACATCAATTCATTTACAACTGATGTCACTTGATTTATGCATATTGTCTATTTTTTAAATTGTGATCTTAAAATTATTTTTTGGTATTTAAAATTTTAAATCTTTATCAAATATTTTTTATAGTTAATTGTATGTCAATTTATAGTTAATATTTCAAATTAGTGTACATTTGCAAAGGATGTTGTTCCAATTCAATTTCAAGTTATGTACTTATATGATATGAGTATACTCGAGTTTTTAATTTATTTTTTTATCTATCTCATGATATATATTTAATGACTATTTGAATATATGTCGAATATCAATATTACAATAAAAACATACCAAACTAAGTACTTTTATTTGTGTATGATAGACTTGGCTACATTGCATATACAATACGAATATTCAAATACGTCTTCAATATAAGCAACAAAATAAAAAACAAACAAACCCTAAACTGAATTTTATCTTATAGATTTTGTTACAGTGTAGTGTGGACATCACTACTAACTTTGTGTCTATATTTAAACATGCGGCGGATATAAAGTCTCGGATTTAATAAATTAAGAAACCCAATAACATAGTAAGTAAAATTCTAAATCAAAGTGTCCTTTTACTTCTCATCTAATTGGCATTTATTATAGCTATTCATTAACAAGATTCAGAATTGGATTGAGTATTGCCTTTCGCATGTTTTTGGGTCTCCAAACAACTGATTGGCGGTTCGGTCGTAGTTTTGAGCTCCCCATATGCTTCCCAACAGAAAGGCCCATCGAGATGGCGGCTTTCTTGAACCGGTTTCAGCTCAATGGTATTTAAAGAAACCCCACTGCATGGAATGCTGTCACTGCATGCGAAGTGGACCGGTTGCATCGTATACGTTCCTCGTATGTTGACGTAGTTTATCCCCGACAATTGCACAGCTGAAGATTGATTCTTGCAGTGACCTTTATCACAGTAGAATTGGTCAATCATTATCGGAGTTTCGACTTCCGAAACTTGAACGTTTGAAAATGTCACTTGTTTCACTGCACCCGAACCTCCCTGTAATGAGAAACAATACGACATATTATTGAAAATTTGAAATAGTTCAAGTTAATTCGGCCTGTATCAGACTTATTTATATTCGATGCTAGCTCAAATCTGAATCCTATTAACGATGGTTAAAGATCAGGTTTTCATGCCTGCCATGTCTTTATTCTGACACCGGTTAATGTGTTGTGCATAGTGACATCTCGAACAGTTATGTTGGAGACACAGGCTTTGGTGCTGTCTTTTCCTAGTCCTCCGATGCTGATTCCATGACCAGGTCCACACTTGACGTTGTCGATATTTACATTTGAGCAACCGGTTTGAATCGACACGCAATCATCTCCTAGACAAGCCAAAAAGAAACCTCCTGGTTAGTAAATTGTTTATTTGAGATATTCATGTTTGGTACATATATATTCAGAATGATAAGCGATTTACCACAAGCGAGAGTAGTGGCAGAGATTACCACATCTTGGGAGTTCTGCAGGTGAATTCCATCGGTGTTGGGGCTGTCACCGGGAGACGAAGCAACGAAGTTGGAGACCTGAACGCTTGTGCAGTCGTCAAATTTAAGGTGAGTTTGGGGGCTGTTTTGTATAGTTATGCCTGTCACTGTTACACCGTTACTTCCATAGAATCTTAAAGCCTGCATCGCCAAAATGATATTGTCACCGATCAAAGCATTTGTCAATCTTGTAAAGAAAAAAAATGGAGTTTTGAAGAAGGAATTACTGTTGGTTTGGTGCCTGGCATCCCCTTCAGTTCAGCACTTATCTGCCACACATGATTTGCATAGAGTTAGCTCTGCTAAAATTAAAAGATGCAATGGTTTTTTATCTATAGTTACCGTTTCATTAGTTGTGGAGTCCTCTGCAATTGTGGGTGAGTCATTCCACCAGACAGAACCTTGTCCATCAATGGTTCCTTTTCCTTTGATCGTAATCCCCTTTAGTTTTGCAAATTCAATCCATTGCAAGAGACCTCCCCATGCACTGGAACTTGTAGGGGCTATTATCTTCCCGTCCAACTATAAAACAGATTTCAATTCATTAGCTTTTTGTCTCCATACAAACGAGGCCTTAATCTTCGTTTAAATTTTGACTAATTTACCTGAAAGGCGATGTTGGGTTGACAGTTGGGGCCTGAGAAGGAAATGGGTCCAACAAGGAACACCGAACCCAACGGAACCACCACCGTCGATGCCTCAACTTTACAAGCTTCATCCCACGCTGCTTGAAATGCCTTTGTGTCATCCGTGCGTCCATCACCTTTGGCCCCATGGTCTAACACATTAAACATTGCAGTGGAAGTGGCGGCGGAGGTGCTGGAAGCGGTGGAGCTTCCTATATTCGGCCACGAAGCCGTCATTCGATGGTGGGAACCACCAGCTACGCTCTGCCTCCACTGCTTGCCTTCCCTAGCGCTGCAGGACAGTTCGAAGCTCGAAAACCAAAACAACAAAACAGTAAGAAATGCAACAACATTTGTGGGATTAACCCAAGACATATTTGAACTTTGCAATAAAAGAATATTTAAAACGGAGATTTTGCACAATTAGATGTACAAATGTCTCTGTGTTTCTGTGATGTGTGGAGAATATCAGATAAGTTAGCTGGTATATATAGGAAGGTATAAGCGGTTCAAAAGCTACTATTCACACATGTGATATACAGTTTAATGAAGACAATACTGCTTAGAATATTGTTGACTTGCATTTTCAGACCAGATTATTCCCGTTGTTTCTTTCATCTTACATATTGCTTCAACGTACTGTGCTAAATTGTTAACTGTCTCGCCGTAATTATATCATATGACCAAGTTGGGTCAAGCAATGAATTGTTTAAAGGATGATTCTTTTACGCTCGACGAGCAACAATGAGTATCGTTAATTTAATTTATAAAATTTTAAAATTATAAATTACTCAACGTATAATTATAAATTAATTAAAAATCTAAACATAAATTATTTAAAATAAAATATTAATTACATTAGTTTTTACAATCTTATTTTTAATAATAATTACATCAAATATTAACTCATAAATTCTTTTTTTTTGCTTTGAAGTTGTCGCCGTTGCTACTGTCGTCGCTGCCACCTCTGCCGTCACTACTGTCAATGTTGCTGTTGTTGTTGCCATCGCCACTGCTATTGCCATCACTATAGCCGTCGTCAACGTCCTTGTAGTCGCCGTTGCAACCGTATCAAAGCAAGAAAAAATTAGGGTTTTTTTAATTTAGGGACTAATATTTGATCTAATTATTATTTAAAATAATATTATAAAAAAACAATGAAATTAATATTTTATTTTAAATAATTTACATTTAGATTTTTAACTAATTTATATTGCACGTGGAGCACTTTATAATTTTAAAATTTTATAAATTAAATTAATGGTGCTCATCATTAGTATGTTCATCGATATTCGTCGAGCATTGTATGATTTTTCTTATTTAAAAATACATATAAAATATTTTTAGACACTTTTAAAATAATAAAATGAACTATAATGTAATTTAGATATTAAAAGAGTAAAATAATTCAAACATGACCCCCACGTATGGGTAAATCAAATCAACCTCCATGAAATTACGGCTCATAACTTAACTTTTTTAGACCCTTCAAAACCGGCTAAAGCACATGGCAACATCTTTGAAAAAACGAAACCCTAATGACCTATGGCTAGCAAAGCAACAAAATAGAAGAAATAAAGAGGAAGACAATAACAATCAGAAAATCTTAATTTTCCCCCTGAGATCGTGCCATTGCTGTAGCCTATGGATTTGGGATACGATAATAATAATGAAAAAAATATGAAAAACGACATTTTTAATAAACAATAATACTATAAGCAATGCAGTTTAAGCAATAAATTCATCGTAATCATATTAAGATTTGAAAAATAATGTATGGAATGACGTTTATGTTACTATTGTGTGCGTGAGTGATGTGTGTGTGGTTGACAAAGACCTCAATAGGCTGTGGCCGTTTGTGGTGGAAACAAATAAACTTTTAAGCAATAATCCGTGATATCAAAGATTGCAGCTTTGCGGGTATATATGTATTTGGGGAATTAATCAATCAATTAATTATTATATATATATATATATATATTTAAAGAGTTTGTGTATTCCACACAAACAAGTACATTGTTTGTTGCCCAAATGTTTCCCAACTTGTGCCTACCATTAATGCATGTATATTTAGACAAATAATAAAAGAAATATGAATGTAACAAAATACTATTTAGGGGTTTATTTCATTTTAAATAATAATAATAATCAAAGTTATTTTTAGATACTAACGATTTTGATAAACTCATTCTTTGATGGATATAGAAATTGGGGGATAAAATTTAATGTTAGTTGTTGATGATTTTCTTTAGATTGTGGTCAGCTGCCTACAACTTTATTTCACATTGATAGACTAAAATAGAAGAGAAAAAAACAATATGGATCAATTTCAAACATAAAAAAAGTTTGTTAACTTTTTTTTAGAAAAACACCAAAATTTATTGTCATATATATTACACGAACCGAGCGATCTTCGTGGTAAAAGAATTGTTGTTATTCCTTGATATCTCAGGTTCGAACATTAAGAATATCAGGGGTGTGAGTGTTCAATGTCAAATGTTGACAACTATCTTTGAACAAATACTATCTTGTACTTACTGAAATCAATTAAAAAAATGAAGTTTATATTTACATACTTATAAAAGTTAATACTCAATCAATGTAAAATTTTATGACTGTTAAACGTGTTGATAAGTCATAAATGAATCATTAAATTTAAAAGTGTTTAAACCTTTTTATTTTCATTCAAACATATATATACAAGAGTATAATCATTGAGAGATGGATTAAACTCAACCCGAATAATCCTTATTTAAGAAGATATTTGGTAAGACCGAACTCGAGCTTACTGATTAGAGGCAACGATGCCATTGTTTCACAACCGAGACTTTTATTTGATTATAACTAGTGTAATGGAGAAAGTATTTATGATGTTTGACTAGAACATCCCTGTAACACTCCATACCAATATAACACACAGTCGATCGATTTAGAGTGCTACATAAAACCACCAAAGTGACTGATCAATTTTTTCTTACTTTTTTATGCTTTAAAATGACTACTTTAAAATTCATTTCATAAGAAAAACATCCATAAAAATATAAAATAAACTTTGTACTGGAGAGCTCTCAAAATAAACATTTTTAAAATTTAAATAATAATAATAATATTAATAATAATACAGAACAACTCTTAACTGACTTTACAACTCAATACATTACAACTGATTTTATGAATATACATGCACTTCAAAACTTGATGGCGTACTCTGCACTGGATTTGGACCTCGGTTTCTCTAAGGTTCTTCAACTGCTCGATCTACTAAGTATGAGCTAACTAACTCAGTGCCACACTAACAACTAAAACATACTAAAAGTGCATCACTGAAAGGCTCATGCTATCTAGTCTACTGCTCTGTTATGCTCTACTTTAGTGAGTATACTTGTATACTCACTCTCTACTCTATGGTAGACATCATGGTGCGGCTGAGGGCTCTGCATCTTATGGCTCACACACCCCTCTAGTTTACCGAGGATATGGCTCGCTAGCCCACTCCTTGAGTGTAGAACCTTGCGTCCAAACTAGTCAACTTAAAGTTCCTCACGCACTCCCTAAGGATATATCCGGATTGAATCTATACTTTCAACTCCGCTAGCTTTCTAAAGGAACTTGGGTGTTCGAATCGTTTCCCGAGCACTAATCAAGACTAGTCTTATTTGTCTCTACTTTATCTCGTTTCTATGTTTGAATTAAGCATTAATACCATTATCACTTGTAGTATTATTTGGGAGAAATTATAAGCTTTTTGGGAAACCTCAATTGCATCTACAACCTCTTTTTATTTTATGCATGAAACATGAACAATATCGATATTGCTTCTTACAGTATCAATACTCACCCTTAATTTATCTTGTTTCTATTTGTAATTAGTGTTTTTTCATTCTCACTTATCATTTTATTAGATATTATCTCAATTAGAAGCATATTATAACTCCACGACCATCCGTGTATCTTTCTAGACCTATTTGGCTAAAATCTGGCAGGGGTTTCGAAACCTATTACAGAGGTTTAGAAAACTACAATAGAGGTGTTTAGGTAGGGGGTTTCAAAACCTACTGTAGAAGTTTTGAAATTTTTACCTGAAATTACATTCTAGACAAAATGTTTCGAAACTAGCCATAGGGGGTCTCAAAATCTCTTTTGCAACTTCAATTTTTACCCGTTTAAACACTTCCAAATCCTCCCAAAATCATTCCAACATGTCCAAATGACCAAAATAAGTTACACGTGAAATAATAGACCATACATGCTTCACAACTTAACTCTTTAACTTGAATGCATTCTAAGGACTCACAAAATAGTATGACAAGGTCTTATCTTAAGGTTTCCCATTTATTATTAAGTCTTATGTGAATTAAAAAGGTCATAAGTAAGGATTTATAACATTTCATTACTCTAAAACATGAATCTTACCAAGAACATCTACTCAACATGCTCAATCTCATCCATAAGCTATCTTGCATTTCTAATTGATCTACTAAGGGTATGAAGGAGTTGTGAGTGTGTTATATGGCCTCCTTGGTTACTAAAACTTCTCTCAATTCAGCTTGAAATCACATTTCTTATCTCTAGCCTTAAAACTCGATTCCACCTTTTTAATTAAAACAAAGCAAGCAAATGGATTACTACTCAACTAGGGGCTAGATTAAGCTCAAATACAACTCCTATAACTCAAATCTACCCAAAAACAACTTAAAACACTTGATTTATTTTAACTCCCAAAAACCTATTTTTGATATCGTAACCTAAAACCTAAGATTTGGGGCTTTAAATGAAGCTTAATAGACGAGGATTAAGAATCGCACCTTGGTTTCTTCAAACTAGTCTTAAGAGTAAAAAAGCTTATACTTTTGGCTTACTCCTGGAGAGGAAATGAAGAAGAAAGGAAAAAAAAAAGAGGAAGACATTTTGGGAGAAATGGTTCACGTGAACTATAGAAAAAAAATAAGGGATTTTATCATTTAAAACTGGTTATGGTTAAAATGCTATTTTAGTCCATCTCCTTTAATCCTAATTTAAAATCATCATTTCTCTTATACTCTTAGGCCAAACTTAAGCCCAATACCCTTATAAATTGGTCTATGAGATCTAATGGGCTCGACTTATGGGTTTCAGGTTGACCCATACTATTGACATGGAATTCGAGGCATTACAATCCCACCTAAATATCATTGGAGCGGGTTGAGGCAACTATTCAAAAGACATGGAGACGTGGTGGATTTATATGTTGCAAGAAAGATGGATAATACTGGAAAATATTTTGGTTTTTGTAAAATTCTCTAACAAAGTGGACGTTAGCAAAGCAATGAAAAGGCTCAATGGTTTTAACACTCAAGGATTTTGATTAGTTGTCAAGGAAGTTAAGCACATAGAAAGACATCACTAGTAGGAAAAACAATCCTACTTTAGTTCATATGGAAGATCAATGACAAAACCATAGAGACGA